CCCTGCTCGCGCCTGTGTTTAGCCATGACTTTCAATACCTATTGTTAGAAGGTGAAAGAGGGACAGTAAAGCGTCCTCCAAACTGAGAAGGCGCTTTGAGACCAGAAAACATACAGTTTTCTGGGGACTCTGTACAGTTTACACAGTTTCAATTCAGGATGACTCTGATGGGGCGATCAGGTGAGCAGTGATCCAGAACTGCACAACCATTCTCTGCCAAGTCCTGACGTGAGGCCGTAGATTTTCTAGAGGGAAGAGATGGCAGAGAGCACTGTGGTGAGGTCAGAGGGACTAACGCTTGACAGACCTCATGGCGCCATCTGGGTACCAGAAGACGGGGGAAGAAACTATGTTATCTCTACTAGGTATCTCAACATCTCAGAGATGAGAGCAAGCCTTTCTACATTCCGGTTAGGGCATACATTAACCTCCAAGGGGCCTGGAACACGTACCCCCAAGGGAGGCCATTGCTTGCCCACGAGCAAGATGGAGGACACCAAAGGTGGAGTCGGTGTTGTGAGCATGCCTACGATCGCGGAGCCCGGCATAGGAGGCAATGTATTCATTCACTCACTAAACACGTATTTTGTGTGTCACTTCATATGTGCCTGGCACCGTGCCAGCACGAAATAAGACACCCAACCTAAGGTCTCAGGTCTCAAGGAGTTTTCAGTATGGTGGGGAAGATGACAAGTATAAAGAAAAATAATTTCAGTTTGCAATAAGCTTTGTGAAGGCAATAAACAGGCGATATATTTGAGAGTAAATGGGGAAGGAACTGCTTCAGGTGGGGTGGAAAGGTTTCTCTGGGGAGGTGACATTTGACTTCAGAGTTAAGTGGTAAGAATGAGCTACTTAGTAAGGAGCCAGGGTACAAAGGCCCTGAGATGGGCAAGGATTCTGCTTATTTGAGTGACATCTCAGAGGAGACCAGTGTGGCTAGAATTCAGGGAGCGTGGTGTGGGTGGGAGGGATGGCACACTGGCAGAGGAGCAGGTCGAAGAGACAATGATGGGATTTAACTTAGATTTTAAAAACATGGGCTTGGAGCGCTAAGTTTGGACAGGCAGTTTTCCAAAGAAGATATGCAAATGGCCAACGAGGGCCTGAAAATTGGCCCCGACATCATTCGTCTGTAGGAAAATGCAAATCAAAACCGTAATGAGATACCACTTCGTATCCACGAGAATGACCGTAATAATAAAAAAAAAATAGGACAATCATAAGTGTGGCCGAGGATGTGGAGAATTTGGAACGCTTATCACCGCTGGTCAGATTGTAAAGGCGTGCAGCTGCTGTGGAAAACACTAGAGAAAACGTTTCCTCAAAATGTTAACTGTGGGGGCACCTGGATGGCTCAGTGGGGTAAGCGTCCAACTCGATTTTGACTCAAGTCATGATCCCAGGGTCATGGGATTGAGCCCTGCGTTGGGCTCTGTGCTGACTGGATCCTGCTTCAGATTCTGTCTCCGTCCCTCTGCCCCCTGCCCTGCTCACAGTCTCCCTCAGGGGGGGAAAAAAAAAGGTCAGTCTGGATGCTTGGCCGGGGCATGGGGGTAGGAAGGCTTGGCAGGGGCAGAATTGGAAACTGAGGAACCATCAGAGGTGGTTGTGGTAACTTAGTAAGAGGTGTCGGGGCTCGGGACTGGGGTGAGGACCGTGGAGGGAAGTCGGTGGAATGAAACACGCGTTGGAGGTAGACCCCATAGGTCTGGGGATGGATATTGGAGCTGGGGGAAGGGTAGGAAAAGGCGTGATTTTTCATTTTTTTCTTGAGCAGCTAGATGAATATAATAGTGCCATTAACTAGGGAAGGAACAGGTCTGGGGAGCGGGGAGGACCACATGTTCCATTTTGAAGAACCGAGTTTGCGATGCTGACGAGATGTCCACATGGAGATATTCAGTAGACCATTAAGGATGTGAGCCTGGCACGCGGGGGAGAGGGCTGGACTATGAAGTTAAAGTGGGGGGGCACCAGCATAAACATGGCGTGTAAAGCCTTGGATGACGTCACTGAGCAGGGAGTGTAGGCAAAGAGCCCCTGAGGGTCAGAACCAGCAGAGAGGCTGGGAGATTATGCTGGGGCGGCCGGCGAGGGGCAGGCATGCCAATGCAGGAGCTGTCACAGAGGAGGGCACGGCCGCTCGGACGCTGGTGAGCAAGAGGAGAGTGGGGTGTGCGTGGAGTATGGTGACATGAGGGTCCTTGGTGACAACAGGCACTTTCCGTGGAGCAGAGGGGGTGGGCTCCGGGCTGGGTGGGTTGAAGCAGGCTCCGGAGGTGAGGAAGTGGGGTCACCAAGTGCAGGCCGCCTGGCAGATGTATTGGGTCAGAGAGATGGGAGGTCACAGGGGCGGGTGTGAGGTCAAGGTCGCGTGTGTGTGTATGTATGTTACAAGACAGGAGAGAACAGAACACGCTCGAATGAGTTGTATGGAAGAGGAGCGCAGGGAAAGGGGGTGTCGCAGGGCCCCTGCAAAGTGTCGCCCCTGCAAGTATCTCCTTGTGAAGATAAAGGGATGGAATCCAGGACACCAATGAAGGGCTTGCCTTGAGAGGAGGGAGGGAGGCAGGCCTGTTCCTCCCGTGCCGTTGAGCGAGAGAAGGAAGTTCAGGAACAGGCACGTTTCTAGAATCCACGATGGGAAGACAGGGGGTCTTGCGGCCGAGAAGTCTGAGGAAAGGGGGGTGGTGCCATGGCTGTCCTGGGGAGCGGAATCACGAGCACACGGCGGGGCCTCGCGGGGAAAGGCTGCCAGGCTCCTGCACCACTGCCTTGGGGTTGTGGTCATGAATTTAAGGTTAAAACGGCCAAACTGATTAGGTGCAACATTGGGCTCCTTGGGTGCAGGTAGAAGCCGGAGAGTTGGGTTCTTTCAGGGCCTTGGTGGAGAGAGAGAAGGACGAGCGGGGAGATGGCAGGGGGGCCACAGGGATCTGAGGGAGGGCGGTGGCCAGGGATGACAGAAGCGTGCTGAGCCTCGGGGTTGTTGTCTTGCCATTGAGTGAAGATGCCTCCGCCAGGAGGACAGCAGGGGGCGGGCAGAGTGAGGACACAATCCAGGTGTGGCCGTGGGAAGGGTGTCGGAGGTGGGGCAGAGGAGGATTTTGGAGGCGTGCAGGCTGGACCTGGGAGGTGGGGTTGGGTCCACTGTGTGTGCGCAGTGCACGTGTCCACGTTGTGGCCACTGAGGAGGCTGATGGGGCGGGATGGAGGCACGTCGGTGAGCCCTCGGGCAGTGGGGGGGGGATGAGGGACGGCCCCTGGGCAGGTGACGGCAGCTGGGAAGGGCAGCAGGCGTGGGGCACAGGCTTCACCGAGTCAGGGATTTTGAAGGAGTGTTGCTGTGTGGACGGGGGAGGCCCGGGGCCCCGAGGCCTCGGCCCAGCCTGTCCAAAGGTGTCGCAGGAGGCTCTTGGTCTCCCGAAAGATTTCAAGGACAGACACAACGCAACGGATGAGCAGTACAGGCCAGGGGGTGTATTAAAGCGGAAGTACACTCTCGAGGGGTGAGGCCCGGCGAGCTCAAGAGAGAGCTGTGCCCACGGGGGTTTGAGTCTCTGCCTTTCACCGGCAGGTGTTAGCAGCAGGGTGGAATAGTCATTCCTTGAGTCGGGGATTTCTTGGAAGCAGGGGGCGGTCCCTTCCAGGACTGTGGGTTACTTGCTTTTTCTTCCTGATTTGGTCAGGGGTGGGGGTGGGGGGGGGTCCTGTCAAGGCTCCCTTAGGGAGGAGATTTTAGTGATACTCTGTCAGCCATCTTGGGCCTGTCTGGTTTGATCCGTTTTGGATTTTGTTGGGTGCTGCCTGGACGGCGCCTGTGACTTTTCCTCACAGTTGACCGGCACTTCCTCTCTGCTGGCCTCTAGGCCTCCTGTTAGAACCTGACCGACCATCCACTCTAACAGAGTGAAAGAGCGGAGTCTGGAGTGCTTCTCCATTGTCTCTGAAGCAATGGGGTGTGAGGGAAAAACAGTTTTTGCTGCAAGGCACGCAGGGGAGGCAGGTTCCTCGCGGGAGGCCAGGTTTCACGTGGGCAGGTGAGAGCGACTCGAGGAGAGGCTGTGCTCTACGGGATCTGGACCTGCACCTGGCGGGGACAGTGAGGGGGGCAGGGCATGCTCTGACGGAGCCGCATGCCTGGGTGCTGACGGCACAGGCATTCTTGCCTGGGGACCTGGCAGTCTGATGTTGGTCGGACTCTCGGGGGACTAATTTGCCAAAGAGAAAAGGAGCCAGGAAACCTAGTCTTCCCAGGCTCGTTCGATGCCGGCTTTACAGGCTCAGTTTGGGCAGACTGGTGTGTGGGCCCTGGGCCCTGTCGGGGACGTCGGTCTCCCGTCAGTTCCCACATGTCACCCAGAGCAGCCAGCGGCGAGAGGCGGTAAGTTCAGCAGAGCCGTGTGCCCGTCTCTGAGGGGCTCCTTCCATCGTCCGGGCCGCTCGCTAGCTCTGACCAGAGGATGGGGTCCTGTCTGTCCTCTGACGGTGAGGGCTGCGGGCACACCTGGAGGTTCCTCTCACGGGGTTTCTTGCTTTGCATGGCTCCTGATCTTCTCAGGTGGGTCACTGCTCTGATCATCTTTGTAAGCTTGCCTTGCCATAGCCTCCTCTCTGCGCATCTCCCTGATCCCCCGAGAGGGCAAGAGATTCACCAGCTAACTGGCTCCGGCCACATGCAGAACTGCTTTCTCAAGTGTCTCACACAGTCTCTCCTCTCTCCAACTCCGTGTTAGGAACCAAACATACACAGTCCGTGGGATGCCCGTCCCCGAGCTGGTCGCGGGGCCGGAGGTGATGTCGCACGTGGGTGTTCAGGGCTGTGGGACAGAGCAGATGTCTCTGGCTTGGACAGCAATGCAGGGCAGTGGGTTTTCCGGTTCCAGGTGACGGGTGCAGACCCGTGAGGGCCTGACGCCCGCAGAGCAGGAGGGCGGGGGTGACAAAGGCCGCAGAGACGTGGGTGCTCAGGCTGACTCTCCTTCCTCTTGTCGCAGCACTGATGTCTTCATCTGCACGAGCCCCATCAAGATGTACAAGTACTGTCCCTACGAGAAGGTAAGATGTGCAGCTTGCTTGGAGGGCCTGGTGCTTTGCCTCTTCTCACCTTTACCCCATGGTGCCGCGGGTAAGGGGTGCTGGCACTCAGTACCCCCCGGGGGAAGGCACGGCCCTCACCGCACCGCCTTCGGGAGCTCGGGCGGCCTCGTGTCTGCCTCTTCTCCCATCCCTCCCTCCTGTCCGTGCCAGCGTCTCCTCTCCCAAAGATCTTCTCTAGCACCAGTCTGAAATTCCAGCACGTTCTCTGCGTGGACCCTGGGGAGGGTGCCAGGTTCTCTGGGGAGGCCGACCACCCCCATGTTAGGGAAGCATCATTTGTGAAGGGTGAGAGAGAGAAACGTGCCAGGGGAGGCCGTGGAGGCAACCCCCACCCAAATACTGGGGCGCCTGACTCTGTTCACACAAAAGTCTTACAAAGGTGAGGCGGTTACATGGCGTCTTGCTACACATGCTCATGTCGTCTTTAATGGAAAGAACTGGAATGACGTAACGCTGGGGCTTTTCTGGAAATTGAGAACCTGTGGTACCAAACCCACAGGAAAGGTGTGTTGCCCGGGAGGTGGGCACTCCTCCCACAGGTGGGTTCACGGGAAGTGGGGGCAGCCTCCCAAGTCCAGGAAGGCGGGACTGGGCGCCCAGAACACTGCCCCCCCCCCCCAGGGGGATTGCTCGGCACGGAATTTTCTCAAGTGTCTCACACAGTCTCTCCTCTCTCCAACTCCGTGTTAGGAACCAAACATACACAGTCCGCACGACATTGAGTGCCTTGGGTGTGCGTTAAGTGCAATGGGAACTCACCCTTGCTGAGCAGGGAACGGTAGCATTAGGCGAGGCACTTGGCGGTCACCATTGCATTCCGTGCTCCTCACCCATTCCCTGGTTACCCTCCGACTTTTTTTTTTTTTTTTTAATTTTTTTTTTCAACGTTTTTATTTATTTTTGGGACAGAGAGAGACAGAGCATGAACGGGGGAGGGGCAGAGAGAGAGGGAGACACAGAATCGGAAACAGGCTCCAGGCTCTGAGCCATCAGCCCAGAGCCCGACGCGGGGCTCGAACTCACGGACCGCGAGATCGTGACCTGGCTGAAGTCGGACGCTTAACCGACTGCGCCACCCAGGCGCCCCATACCCTCCGACTTTTAACATGAGTTGCGCTAAACTCAAGGGAGCTAAGGACCTGCCATCAGTAAGTGTGGAGTTAGGACTGAAGGCCTGGCCCGCTGCTTCTAGCAGAGCAATGATCCGAAGTCAGGTCCCCAGACCAGCGGGATCTGCATCCCCCAGACGTTTGGTAGAAGTGGACGTTTTCCAGCCCTTCCTGTGACCTTCTGAGTCGGAAGCTCTGGGAGGACCCAGGGTGTTTTAACAAGTCCACCAGGTGCACCCGCGGGGGTGAGTCCCTGGGCCAGAGTAACTATTTCAACTGTGCTTGTAGTGGGTGGTCAGGGTGATTGCCTGGTGCTTAGTGGAGTAAGACTGAGAAAATGGCAGCCATTCCTGCGTTCCTGTGGACTCAAGCTCCATCTTGGTGCCCACCCTCCCACCTTACGGCTTCAGCCCAAGACCGCCCTCTGAGCTCTGGATAACTCAAACCTGATGCCCCCGGGCTCCTGATGTCCCCATTTCATGTTTGTCTGTCCCTCTCAGTAAACTGGCATCGTCCGCCAGCTTCTGAGTCTGAGAGCCACAGAGCCATCTTGGTGATGCCCTTCTTACCCCCCACGCCCAGGGCATCAGCAAGTTGCATTTCCTGTTCGGGGTCCTGGCATCCGCCTGCTTCTCTCTCCGTCACACCACCTTAGCTTCTCTTCCCAGAACCGCCAAAAGAGCCGTCCGTACTGCCTGCTCGTTTCAGTTCCACCCGGTTCTACAAAGTAGATCACGTGAGTCCCACGCGGTAAAACCTTTCAGTAGTTTTCCACCGCACTTAAAATGGAATTTTAAAATACACGCACGCACACACACAAACTCCTCATCATAACCTGCAAGGCCCCCCGAGCCGTCTCTCCTGCCATCCTAAGTTCCTGATCCTCCGTTCTCAATGGATGCTCCGTGTTCCTATTTCTCAAGCAGGCCCGGTGTTCTTGGCGCGTGCCCTTAAACATGCTGGGCCGTCTGCGTGCCTGGTTCTTCCTCCTCCCTGAGGCCTCACTCAGCCGCCCCCCCAACCCCGTTTCCTGCCCGTATCTAAAAGTTTGTTCTTTCCCTGCCTTGCTGTTCCGTCCCTCAGCCCCTTGTTTCCTGTATAGACACTTGCAAGGGGTTTACGTCTTCGTCTGTGTCTTGTTATCTGTCTCCCCGTTAGACTGCAAGCCCCATGAGGGCAGCGACCGTGTCTGTCTTGCTCACTTTTGGTCCCAGTGCCTGGCACGCTGACAGCACTCAGTGTTTGTTGTCGGATGCATGGATTCAACAGGCATCAAACACATTCCAGTAACCATGTTTGCCATTTATCTGATGCCTTAGCTATGCCAGGCACTGTACTTTTATTATCAGTACGGCAGCTCCCTGTGAAACAGGGTGCTCCTCTGATGTGAGGGACAAAGAGGGAGGCTGAGAGAGGCGAGGCAGCTCGTCCCTGAGCCTGGTGATCGCACAGGCAGCGGGGCTTGGTCCAGAGCCGTGCGTCCCAGAGCCCGCGCCCTTAGCTGCTCCCACCCGCAGCGCCTGCGCACTGCAGAGGGCTCAGAGTCCAGTGAACACAGATGATACCACTTGGGGCTCCTTCGTTGCAAGTGACATCAACGGTGTGCCACTAACTTGAAGAAAAATAGGGTTTATTAGGAGGCTGTTGCTTTGCTCAGAGAACCACCGGAGGATCTGAAGGAGCAGCCCGTCGACAAGCCACTGGGGAGCCAGAGCCAGCAGGGGGTCTCTCCAAGCAGTTGTGCTCGCAAAGACCACAGCCCCATTCGTTCTCCGTCCGTGGGTGTGTTTGCCCAAGATTCACGTTCCCAGGAGGGAGGCTTACCGGCTGAGCTCAGGTCACGCTCCCCGCCCTTGGTCAGGGGACGGTGGGCATCCTGACTGACATCCCATCAAGGCCAGGGGTCTTTGAAGAGAAAAAGTGAGGTGCTGTTATCAGAGGAAGGGGCTCAGTAATAGTGGGCAGCGGATGCCCTGACCAAACAAAGGGAAAAAATAACAAAACCCTGGCTATAAAACTGCTACCTGTGATAAAAACACTATTAATATGTTGAGGTGTTTCTTTCTAGTTTCTCTTTGATGCGTATTAATTTTTTTACGTTTATTTTTGAGAGAGAGAGAGAGAGCGAGAGCAGGGGTGGGGCAGAGAGAGGGAGACACAGAATCCAAAACAGGCTCCAGGCTCCCAGCTATCAGCACAGAGCCTGACGCGGGGCTCGAACCCACAAACCGTGAGATCATGACCTGAGTCGAGGTCAAATGCTTAACCAACTGAGCCACCCAGGCGCCCTCTCTTTGATGCATATTAAATATAATACATGTATTTTAACAAAACTTAAATCTCCTGTGGTTTATCATCCTCTTTCCACTTAATGTAGTTTTAGCCTTTGTTCTGTCACCAAGTATTCTTGGAAAAACATGATTGCTAATAGCCAAAGTCATCTTGTAAATAAATCTTCACATGATTGTGTCCACAGGATAGATTCCAGGAGATAGAATTCCTGGCTCCCACAAGGAGGGTCTACCATGACCTGCACTACAGGGAGGGAGGGTCACACGGTTGGCGCTGTGCTGGTGTCAGGCAGGGGCCAGGCCGGGCCACAGAGGGTCGGTCAGTGGAGGGAGTGGAGTACTGAACAAAGACATGAAGACAGGAAAATGCAGGGTATGTTTGAGGAACTTTGGGTGAGTTGTGTTGGCTGGTGGCCTTGGGGCCTGGCTGGGATGTGGGCTTGGGATCAGGCTGGGGTGCAAGCTCATCTCCCAGCCGTCTGTCACCATTCAGCTACATTGTCACCTCCTCCCCCCCCCCCCCCCCCCCCCCCCC